GTCCGGTCGGAGGCCAAATCGCGCCAAAAAACGAGAAATACCGAGCAATACCAAACAATAACGAGGAATACCATCACGTAAAGACCCAATACCGAGTTATACCGAGCTATACCTAGCAATACCGAGTTATCCAAAAGTTGTACCGAGTTTTTCCTAGAAAAAACTCAGTACAACTCGGTATTGCTCGATATAGCTCGCTATAACTCGGTATTGGTCTTCAAGAGCAAATACCGAGCAATACCAAACAATAACGAGGAATACCATCACGTAAAGACCCAATACCGAGTTATACCGAGCTATACCTAGCAATACCGAGTTATCCAAAAGTTGTACCGAGTTTTTCCTAGAAAAAACTCAGTACAACTCGGTATTGCTCGATATAGCTCGCTATAACTCGGTATTGGTCTTCACAGAGCGGTATTCCTCATTATTATCAAATAGTAACTAGCAATACCGAGCAAATACCGAGTTTTTTCGCGGGATTTTGCCTCCGACCGAACCTTCCTCTACTGAACTTTTATTAGGTCCGGTGTAAGGACTTAGAGGAACGTCCGGTCGGAGGCAAAATCCCGCCAAAAAACTGGGTATTTGCTCGGTATTGCTAGGTATTATTTGATAATAACGAGGAATACCGCTCTGTGAAGATCAATATCGAGTTATACCGAGCTATACCGAGCAATACCGAGTTGTACCGAGTTTTTTCTAGGAAAAACTCGGTACAACTTTTGTATAACTCGGCATTGCTCGGTATAGCTCGGTATAACTCGGTATTGAGTCTTCACGTGATGATATTCCTTGTTATTGTTTGGTATTGCTCGGTATTTCTTATTTTTTTGGAGCGATTTGGACTCGGTCCGGACCCGGTCGGAGGAGGTAATAATTGTTCTCCTCTAGGTTCTTACACCGGAACTAATAAAAGTTCCAGAGAGAAAGAGAGAGAGAGAGAGACCGCGAGCCAGAATGGCTTCAGCTGTGCTCGTTCATGCCCAATGGTCGGCTCCTCCTCTGCACAGCAACCGTGGTAGGCAGGCAGTTGTTTTCAATCGTAAAAGCGTCATCGTCTCATCCACCTCCCAGCGCTTCCCGGGTATCTTCCGGCGCTTTCGCTTGCCGACTCGTAGTTGCGGATTTGTACTTGGAGCTCAGAAGCGTGGTAATGGTGGCGCCGCAGGTAACCCGAAGGAAAACCAGCTGGCGAGGATAGCCCTGCAATCCTCGCTCTGGGCCGCAGAGACTGCTTACATCCTCTGGCTATTCCTCCTTCCGTACGCGCCAGTAAGTGCCTCTCTTTTTTCGCTTTCGAACTATGATGTTCTTGATGTTTATATGAGTTTCTTCATTTCTCTTGTTTTTTTATTTTTATTTTCGGGTTTGGTGTCAAAATTAGATCTTTCGATTTAAGGATTGTCCAATGAATGATGAACGATACCGGGCCTTGCTTAGGGCCACCGGTGGACTAAGAGGTTGAAGGTGAATATGATGAAATCAGAATACAAGAGAAAGGGGGAGAGAATGTGGATTTAGATAAAATCTTTGTTATGTCAGATGTACAAGAATAATAGAAGTGAGGGCTCTGTGTTATAGAGCTTAAGCTAAAAATGATATAATATATCTCTTCCTTAAGGAAAAGGAGAAAATATCGATCAAACTTTGTCTCTCCCTTTTATGCCCTCTATGTCCACCTTTTATAAAATACCCAGAGTTTTTAAAATGTAAGCATAATTTTGGGCACAAAAAATTTCTTTGAATTTATCTCATTTTATCATACATCCATAAAACATCAAACCTTCAAATGTTGTACGCCAGAATCCTTTTTGGTTCTTCTCTCTAACTCAAATTTGGACGAATTTCAACTTCATCGGCTGATGTTTGATTTCCAGAATTAGATACCCACTTTCTTAGATAAGACACATGGAACACATTGTGCATATCAGTTTTCTTCTCTGAAAACTATAACATGTAAAGAGATTTTTCATTTTTTTTTTGGTATTTCAAAATGTTCAACATACATTGGACTTGACTTTCCTTACTTTCCAAACCTACTGATGTCCTTCATTTGTCTAATTTTCACATATACAAAATCATCAACCAAAAATTTTGCAGTTCGATGTTTAATATTATAATACCGCTTCTATTTGTCCTGCACAGCTTTTAATCTATTTTTGATCAAACAGATCTTTTCAGTAGCATCATCGACTATTGTTATCCCAATCAGACTCCTCTCACCCACCTCTTTCTATGACATAGGTTTTCTGCACTTCTTGCCATACAAAATTTCATATTGGGCAATAAATATACTTGACTAAAAACTGTTATTATAGAAAAATTCAATCAAAGGTACTTGATCTCCAGATCACATAACCTTAGAAGGCCTTCTAACACCTAAATAGCCCTCACATATTGTCCATCAGTCTACAGATGAAAGGTTGTACTAAAATGTAGTTTCGTATTCAAACCTGGTTGAATACCTTTCCAAAGTTTGAAAGTAAACCTGACATCTCAATTAGAAGCTATCATTTTAGATATTCCACATAGTCAGATGATCACTTGCACATAAACCCATGCCAATATATCTATTAAATCATATTGTCGAATCAGAATGAAATGTGTAGACTTCATCAGACGATCTACTACAACCCAGATAGCATCGTGCCATTACCTCAATTTGGGATATCCCATAGCAAAGTCCATCATCATTTTCTCTCATTTCCATTCTGAAATCAACAATAGTTGCAAAAATAAACTCTCAGTTGTTGATGCTTTGCTTTCATCAATTGATAAGCCTCATATTTTGAAATAAAATATATTGCGTTCTTCTTTAATCCAGGATACCAAATCATACCTTTTAAATCATTATATATTTTACTGCTTTCTGGATGAATAGTATAACCTTAATATTGCATTTCGTACATAATTTTTGTTCTTAGATATCCAGAACTAGGAACTCATATCCTGTTCTTGCAAAGAATAACTCAAGAATTAGATAATTGTAGTTTAGATTTCTTACTAGATTTGATTTGATCAGTAAATTTTGGATACTCTATATCTAACTTTTGAGTTTCTTGAATCATTTCTTGCATAAATAGTTGAATAATCATCTATGTCAAAAAATTAGAATCCCAGTCAACCAGAACAATCACTTCTGATTGTAGTTTTTTCATATCCTGAATTAAATGTTTATCAAAGCTAAGCAAAAGACTAGATATCCTAGAAAATTTCATACTCAGGACATCTACCTCCATATTCGCTTTACCTAGCAAATACTGAATAGTCATATCATAATTTTTAATCAACCAAGTCACCTCTTCTGTCTCAGATTTGTTAAGAGAGTTGCTATGAAAAACATTTCGTCCCGGACGATCGTGACGATCGTACAGACGAAATGACAATAAAACACTGAAAATTGTACTCAAACGGTTTAAAATCCGATAATTTGTCACATTACATACATCGTCCCGTACGAAAAAATTTCGTCCCGGACGATTGTCACTAAAAAAAATTTCTAATTTTTTTTGCAATCAATCAAAACAAAGACACAAAACACACTAAAAACATAAAACAAGAAAAAAATACAAACTCAAAAAGAAAAAATCACACAAATAAAATCAAAAACTCATAAAGAACACAAAAACATTTAACTAGAAAATAAACATCAATGTTGCAAAAATATTTTTATTTAAGCATTCAAATCAATCACACCAAGCCTTGTTCTTAATGCACTGAAAGTATAAAAAGCTAAAGGTTTTGTAAAAATTTCTACAAGTTGATTTTCAGTAGAAACATGATTGAGTTCAATTTCTCCTTTGGATACATGATCCCTTATGAAATGATGTCTTATGTCTATGTGTTTGATTCTTGAATGTTGAATAGGATTTTTAGAAATGCAAATAACACTAGTGTTATCACAATAAATTGGAATAGTGCCTATAGTCAATACAGAATATAAATGTACAAATTTTCTATTTATCTCTTTTTGAAGAAATGTATAAATTTGGTGTTCTTTATTTTTCCGCTGTTTGTTGTTCTTATAAATTTGGTTTTCTTTATTTTTCCGCTGTTTTTATTTTAACGTTTACAACTTGTGGTTGAAAAACCTATTTCTATAAAACTCACTAAAGTTAGTTTTTATTTCCAAATTTTAAGAGGGTAAATTTTTTTTTTTAATTACCAATTCACCCCCCCTCTTGGTTAGCCGTGGGACATAAGCTTAGGTTTAACAACCTTTTCTCCATAAGTTCCAAATTTTAAGAGGGTAAATTTTTTTTTTAATTACCAATTCACCCCCCCCCCCTCTTGGTTAGCCGTGGGACATAAGCTTAGGTTTAACAACCTAATTCTTAGTGAACGAGTTTCAACAAGATTTAAATCAGTTTGAGTGAAAATATACTTCAGACTATGATGATCAGTGTATATCTCATGCTTGACTCTAAACAAGTAGTGCCTCCAGATCTTTAATGCAAACATAATAGAAGCAAATTCTAAATCATATGTCTAATAGTTCCTCGCATAGGATTTTAATTGTCTGGAAGCATATGCTATAATCTTTCTATCCTGCATCAAAATACATCATAATCCCTTCATTGAAGCACCACCGAAAATCTGAAATCCCTCCGTACCTGATAGAATAGTCAGAGTCGGAGCACATACCAAATAATCTTTCAACCTCCGAAAAATCTCTTTACAATTAGACGTTCAGATAAAAACCACCAACTTTTGAGTATGTTTCACCAAATGTTCCTTCTCAGAAGCTGAGTAAATCAGAATATTCTCTATAAAGACAATAACAAATTGATCAGATATTCTCTGAATATCTTGTTTATCATATCCATGAAAATTGCATGCGTATTAGTTATCCAAAAGGCATGACTAAGAACTCATAATGCCTCTATCAAGTACTGAAAGTTGTCTTCATCACATCTATCAGTCTCACCTTCACCTGATAGTATCCATATCTCAGATCGATATTGGAAAACACATAAGATCTTATAAGCTAGTCAAATAAATCATTAGTCCTAGGCAGATGATATTTTTGTTCTCAATTATGACATTGTTTAGTTCCCTGTAATCGGTACACATGTGAATCGTACTGTCATTATTCTTCACAAACAAAATATGTGCTCCTCATGGAGACACATTTGGACGGACAAAACCTTTTTCAGCTAGCTCTTGAAGCTGTACCTTCAACTTCTGAAGCTTCCTAAGTGTTATCCTATATGGAACCTTGGATATTGATGTAGAACCCAAAAATATATCAATACAAAACTCAATCTCTCGTTTAGGTGGCAAACTCACTTACTCCTTTGGGAAGACATCACGAAACTCCTGTACTACTAGGACATCAGGCAAAGATTCAGAGTTTAAGCTCCAATCCCAAACTATTGCTAGAAATACACTACAACCTTTTCTCCATAAGTTATCCACCCAAACAGCAGTGATTAGACATGACATAACGCTTTAACTCCCTGAAATAAATAGCTCTCGCTATCCAAAAATAATGTAACTCTCTTTTTAAAACAGTTAACTCGAGTCTCATATGACTCAACCACCTAGAATAATATCATATTCAGATATATATAATAAAATCAAACTAGATTTTCACTTAATATCACAAAATAAGCTTTACTAATAAACATACCATTCCAATTCGGTAAAACAACAGACAACGAAAAAGGAAATAACATAGAATGAAAGTGCAGTAAATCAAAATACATCTCAAAAATAAACGACTGCCTGGATTCAGAATCAAATAAAATACGACAAAGCATATCATAAACATAGACTGTACTTGTAACCACATCCGAAGCATCTCTAATATTATGCTGAGCCAAGTTATATACACGTGTCTGAACTGGAGCCGGAGTAACAGGACTACCGAACTCTCTATGTCTACTTCAAGATGACCTCCCTACTACAGAGCCTACCACAGAACCAAAGCACAACCTAGGTTGGATGATCCCTCAGCAAACACACCAGGAAGAATTGTCCCGACCTCCCAATTGATTTAAAAAAATCTCAAACTTGGACTCAGAATGTTGATCTTGTAATATCTGCAGGCACTCAGCTACCATGTGTCTAAGCTGACCACATTGAAAACACTACCCCGTTAGCCTCTAGAACTAACCAAAATGCCTCCTACCACAACTCTATCACATAAGTGTCTCACTAATAGAACTATCGAAACTGACCATACCGCCACCACCTAGGACTATTCCAGATTGACCAACTCTCCTGGAATCTGTAGGTCCAAACCTTCTCCTCTTCCCAAAAAATTCGCT